CGGCGCCCGGCCCTGCCGGGGACAGCGCCCCCTAGAGACCCCCCGGCACCGGGCCCTGCCCGGGGAGAGTGCCCCCTAGAGACTCCCCGCCCCCTGGCGCCCGGCCCTGCCGGGGAGAGCGCCCCCTAGAGACTCCCCGCCCCACAGTGCCCGGCCCTGCCTGCCCAGGCAGAGCGCCCCCTGCCCAGCCCCCCACCTGACCCCCGCAGCCCGTCACCCCCCATTGAGTCTCTGCTTCACCCCTCGGTCTCCCATCCGAGGGCAGAGCGCGGGGTCCTGTCTTGCTTAGCGGGAGTTGGACAGGGCCTGTCCAGGTGGGGCAGTGACGTTGGGTTTGGGGACTGGGGGGGTGATTTGGGGGGGCTCTGGGGGTCACGTTGGGGGTACTGAATTTGGGGTGCCTGCTATACTCCACCCTTCACTAACCTCCCTTTTCTTTCTGCCTCCCCCCCCAGGCCGGACGCCCCCCCAGCCCCCCGCCAGTGGTCGGGGAGCCAGGACTCCCAGCTCGGCCCCCCCAGCCGGGACCCCAGCGCCGACCGGGCCCCTCCGGCCTTCGCCGCCCGCACCCGCCGCAGCAACAGCTCGGAGGCCCTGATCGAGCGGGGGGCTCCCCCTGAAGACCCCCCCTTCCGCGGCCCCCCCCGGCCCCCCTACGCTGAGATCCTGCTGGACTATTACCTGGAGCGCCAGTGCTGGCCGGCCGGGGACCACCTCTCACGCCGTGACGCCCCCCCGCCTCCCGGCTGGGGGTACCCCGACAGCCCCCTGCCGCGCCGGGCGGGACGCGCCAAGTCCTGCGGGCCCCCTCCCCAGAGCCAGCCTCCCCCGGCCCCCCTGCGCCCGCCCCGGGCCGTCCACAAAGCCTTGGCCCTGGAGGGGCTCCGGAACTGGTACCTGCGTAACGCTGGGGGAGCGGGGCCGCCCCCACCCCGGGACAGGAGAGGGGGCCCCCCCCGTGGCTGGCCCGAACCCCACCCCCGGCCGGAGACGGGAGGCTACCTGCCCCATTCGCTGAGCTACGCTGGGCAGCCGCTGCAGGGCAGGTATGGGCGCCGGGGGGGCTGGCAGCCCTGATTTAAGGTTGGGGGGCTTAGGGGACCAATCAGCCCCCCCATTGCTCCCCCACAGCAGGGGTACACCTGCTAGAGGGGGGTGTTTGGGGGACAGGGGAGGCTCGCGTCTCTTGCTAGGGGTCGGCCTTTCGACAGCTGCTCCCCGCCCCTCCTCCATGGGCAGCGTTGGGGGGGAAAGGACCCAGGCGTCCGGGAGTGAGTATGTGTGTGTGCGGGGGGATTTAAGGTGAAGAGACCCAGGCATCCTGCTCTGCTGCCGGATTGCGGGGGGGGGGGGACCCAGGTGTTGGTGGGGAAGGGAGCAAGGGACCCAGGCATCCGGGGAAGGGTGACTCTCTCTGCTATGACTTAATCCTCCCCATCCCTTCCTCTGGCTAATCTCTCTCTCTCTTCTCCCCCCGCCCCGGTCTCTCCCCCCACATCTGTCTCTCTCCCTCTCCCCCCGTCTGTCTGTCTGTCGCTCTCTCTGCCTCTGTCCTGCAGACCCTTCGCAGACCTCCTCTACCCGGACGGGCCCAGCGCCCCCTCCCCCGGCCTGGGGCCCCCCCTGGATGTGGAGAGACACCCCCCAGGGACGCTGGTCTGACCTCCTGGGGTGGGCAGGGACAGCCAGGGGTTAACCTCGCAGGGTGGGGGGACACTCCCCTGCTGGACAGGGGTGTGTGTGGCATCAGGTGGATTGGATGGGGGGGAGATGCCACCTACTGAACCCCCATTACCACCGGCACTAACCGCCTCCTCCCCTCCAAAAAACCCTCCCCCTTCTAAAAGTCTGGACAGACAGCCCCCTGCCCTGCCCTATCAGTTCCCTGACCCCACCCCCCATATTCCCTCCCCCGCACCTGGCCATTCCTCCCCCAGCACCACATCCCCCTCCCCAAACCTAGAGAGATGCTCCCTGCCCCCCATCCAGTGAGCCCCTCATACCCCTCCCCCCCCGTCCGGCTCATTTAGGAAACGAACTCAAACTCTCGACATTCCAGCCCTGGCCGGCGTCCGGTGGATTTTCCTTTCAAAGTTGCACACGAAACAAGAAAGTCACTTTTTTCTTTTCTTTTTTCCTACTGGATTTTATTTCGGGGGAACTGGGGTGGGGGGACGGGGACTCTACTCCCCAGGTGCCGTCCCCCCCGCGTGCACACCCGGCTCCCCGAGCCACGTGGTAGTAGCGACGGGCACCAGCCTGCGACCTGCTCTGGGCCTTGACTTTGTCCCGTTCCCAGCGCGTGGATTGTAGCGGGAATTTCTTTGGCGAATGTCAAACTGGTCACTGTGCAGAACGGGGTTTGTATAATACAGATCGCAAAGGCGAGGCTGTGGTGTGGTGGCTTGGCTGGGGGCGGGCAGGGGGGCGCGCCGGCGGGAGCGGAGCCTGGGCTATCGGGGAGGGGGGAAAGGCCATTTCTGACCCTTACGGTTTGGGAAAAATGTCTCAAAATGTGATGCCTGCCTGGGTCTACTGAGAGCCCGAGCTGACTGCTTGCAGAGGTGTGAACTGCCCTGGGGGGAACTGATCCCTGCCTGGGTCTGCAGAGAGCCTGAGCCAATCGCTTGCAGAGGTATGAACTGTCCTTAGGCCAGGTCTACACTACAGCCCTAAATTGGTATAACTGTGTGTTGCTCAGGGGTGTGAAAAATTCACACCCCCCCCGAGCAACATAGTTACCCCGACCTAACCTCCCATGTAGACTGTGCTAGGTTGGCGGGAGAACATCTCCCGTCGCCATAGCTACCGCCGCTCGAGAAGGTGGATTAACTATGGGAGAGCGCTTGCGGCTTAGAGAGTCTTCACTGAGGTGCTACAGCTGTGCCATAGCAGCGTTTGAAGTGACGCTGCCTGAGTCGGCAGAAAGCCTGAACTGGTCGCTCGCAGAGGTGTGAACTGTTCTGTGTGTGACTGATGCTGCAAAGGCGTGAGCCACTCGCTGCCTCCAAATGGGGCATTAACTGCCCCCTCCCAGCAGGGCATATAGTGTGCGCCTGGCCCTGCCCCTCTCCCCCCAAAACCAGCAAATTACCAGGGATCCCACTCCTACCACCAATGCCTCTGGCAGTGCCCTGTTGGGAATTTTTTTTTGCTGGTTTTCATTTTATTTTGGGGCAGGGATGTCCCAGATTTTCAGAAGGGACCACTCTGACCTCGTGTGTATAACAGCAGCCTTTCTCCTCGTCCCCTGGCTCTATACGGAACTCTGCTAAAAACCTCTGCGGGAAATCATGAGGCAAGGGGTTCCACAGATTAACGTAAAAATGTACTTCCTTGGGTCAGTTACATCTCACATCAGAAGGGACCAGTGTGATCCTCCAGTCTGACCCCCCCCGTCTCACACAGGCCAGAGAACGGACCCCCAATAATTCCTAGAGCAGAACTTTGAATTCCATTGGATTCCTTCTAGTGGCTTTGGGAGACCCTATATAAACCAAGTAAAAAATGCCCCCCAGTTATGGGGTAAAAGAAAACCTGGATTCTTCCAGGGGATTTATTCATTGTTCATCCACAGCTTTTATCCCCCCAATAAACCACAAGAGGGGCAGGGGAATGGAAAACCAATGGGATTAAAAAAAAAAAGGGGGGGGGGGGATGACGCGGTCTTTGTTTTCCAGGTTTTGGGAGATTTTGCATGTGTGTGCGTGTGTGAGAGAGAGAGAGAAACCTGGATTAATTTCCTGTGAACTATGGGGGAATAGATTCCAGGGTTTTTTAAAAAGTGTTTTTGGAGTTCGCCAATGTTTTTTCTCCAGGGGGGAGGTGTGGAAAACTTGGTTAAAATTCCCCTGAATTCACAGGGAATTGGGGACTTTTTCCCCCACATAAGTTAAGGCCCCGTGCCCCATTCCCTGCCCCCTTGAGCCAGCCAGACTCCACATCCTGGGGCCATATCCGAGCCAGCGCCCCCTAGAGGGGGAAGGCCCTGTGCCCCATTTCCCGCCTCCTCAAAGCTATGCAAGTGTTTATAGCAAGAAATGGCACAGAAGTTTTATTAGACGTTGTTTTTGCTCCTCAAATAAATAGGAGGAGTTGTGGATAAATACTCAGTGCCAGATGCAGCATCCCACTGAATCCTCAGTGCCCCCTCGGGGTCCCCCTTGAATACACCCCTTCCCACTGACCCAACCCTCCCAGTATTACAGCCCCTTGTTTCTTTTGTTGCCGTATAAACAGGGTACTTAGATAGGGCCTACATAAACAGACCTAGGGGGTGGGTCCCTGGGTCAAATCATGTGGCAGGTAGTTCCACAGGTTAACCCCCCCCCCCCATTCTCCTCTGCTAAATTCCCCATGCCCCTGGTCATTCAAATGATTACCCAGCTCTCAGCCCCTCACTGGGCTCCTGGGTCAAATCGTGTGGTGGGGTAGTGCCACAAGTTAACCACAGGCCATTCTTCCCTGTGCCAAATCATGTGGAAGGTAGTTCCACAGATTAACCACAGCTCATCCTCCTCCTGTTAAGCTCTCCAGGCCTCTGGGTCAAATCATGTGGTTGGTAGTTCCACATGTAAACTATAGCCCTTTCTCCCTGCCTAAATTATCTGGTCCCCTGTATCAAATCATGTGGCAGGTAGTTCCACAGGTTAGCCATAGCTCATCCCCTCCCCTACTCCAACCTCAAGGCCCTGGCTCGACTCAGGGGGACGCTGCATCTTCGCGGTAGCGCGAGCGGGCGTGTAGGAGAGTAGCGAAGCGCAGGCCCGAGGCAACGGTGAGGGGCTGGTGGGAAGGACAGATGGGGGGGGGGGGCCCGGCTCGCTCCTTAAGAGCCAGCTTCTTGTTCTTGGCCCATCGCCTCCAGCAGTAGCCCCATGGGCGTCCGCTTCAGCCCAATGCTCTCGATCCTGTTCTCGATTTTATTCTTGAGGTTCCGGAGGCGAAAGGAGGCGTGGATGAGAATCACTGCAAGTGGGGAGGGGGGAGGAGAAGGAAGCGAGAAAGTGGGGGGGCTGAAAGCATCCCCGGCGCTTGCTAAGAACTGCCCCAGGCCCCCGCAACCCAGGTCTTGCGACACAGCAAGGCGGCAAGTCGCTACCCCCTGCCGCCGCTCGCATGCGTGGATGCGGCTGTCCGAATGCATCTGCCATGCCGCAGCGTTTGCATGCGGGGAGCGTTTGCAGGCAACCTTCCACAGCAAAAGCAGCACCAGATCAGGGACTGCACACATGGATGCTGCAGCGAGAATGCATGCGCCATGTCCCCGCCCACTGGCCAAAGGACGCAGCAGCGTGCGGGTCTGCATCGGCGGACGTGCATCTAACATGTAACCAGCTGCTGCAACCGATGCAACAGGGCGGTGACGGCCCGCATGGCTCTTGCGGCTAAAACGCAGGGGCCTGCAGCGCGCGTGGATGCTGCGGCTGGTACGGAGCGGCCCACGCTGCCCCGGCGTGCACAGCTGCCGCAGCGGGAATGCATCTAAAATGCAACTGCCCCACGCTTGCAGCACGCCCCCCAGAGCGCAGCCCCTGCATGGGCGGATGCTGCAGCGGCCGTGCCACGAAGATGCAACCGCCCGCAGCAGGGAGGCTGAGGGAACGGCCCTGCCGGCCGCCCGTGAGAACGCCTCCATTGTGGGGGCTGCATGCATGGATCTGCCAGCAAGGAAGCAGCAGCCGCGCACCCCCTTGCCCGGCCAGTATACAGCATGTGACCCACTGATCTGACTCCCCCCAGTGCATGCATTGTGTTCGCCCCCTGCCTGCCCCTACTCCCCCCCATCAACCCCACCTCCCTGATCTCTGCTACCCCATGCGTCCCCACCCCCAAATTCCACCCCAGCAAACCTGGCCCTCTTCCTCTGTTCCACCCTGCCCCACAGTATTCCCAAGGCCCTACTTAACCCGACCCCGTAGACGCCACACCCCCATCAACCCTGCCTCAACCCCCCACCCTACCGCCCATCCCTCCCCCACACACTCACTGGAGATGGGCAGGGTGACTGTCAGCAGGAAGACCCCCGAGCCCCCCAAGAGGGACACCAGGCCGTAGGCGCTCCCCAGCACGGCCAGGAGGCTGGCGCCGGGGTAGCTGCGCCGGAAGCGCCGAATCGGGGCCTTGTTCTCAGCCGCCCAGACGAAGGCGACGAAGACGAGGGTCACGGCGGAGCCGGAGAGCAGGGTGTGCAGGGGCCGGAAGTACCTGCGGGGACAGGGCAGAGTGAGAACCCAGGAATCCGGGCACCCACATTTTCCATTGACCCCACCCTCACGCCTTGCATAGACACCCACCCTGGAGCATGTGCCCCCCCTTGCATAGAGCATGCATGGCTCCCCACCTCTTACACTGACCCCCCAGCATGCACGGCCCCCCCTTGCACTGACCCCTCCGGAGAATCCATGGCCCCCCACCGCTTGCACTGACCCCCCCCCAGCATGCACGGCCCCCCCTTCCACTGACCCCCCTGGAGAATCCATGGCCCCCCACTGCTTGTATCGACCCTCTGGGGAGCAGGCACAGCCCCCCCTTGCACTGACCCCCCCCAGTATGCATAGCCCCCCACCCCTTATACT